TTTTTTTTTTTTTTTTTTTTTTTTTTTTTTTTTTTTTTTTTTTTTTTTTTTTTTTTTTTTTTTTTTGTTCTTTCCACTTTTGGCTTCCCCCCTTCTTCCTCCTCCGGGCCCATTCTGTTTCCTGTTTAAAATGATTTTCATGCCTATCTCTGTTACTCATCGTTTTGCCTTAAAACTTTTTTCAGTAGGCCAAGGTGGAGATTAGGGAACAAAGAACTCTCTCAATTGTGGAAGTGGGCTGATCAGAATCCGGTGAGCAGTTATCAGTTACCGTCGGTTATTATTGCTTGGAATTAATATTTACTAAAATGATTTTGTTCAAGCGTTTGTTTTTTATTTGAGGAAAATTCTCCATAATTTAACGTAATTAGCTATCAAAGGAAGAGGTTCTTTTGTCCAAATATTAAGCCTTAATTTTCAAAATCTAAGTCTGCACCTGGGGAATTATAAAGATTAATTAGGTTAATGCTAAAGGTTTGAGGGAATCATTATTTCTATTCTATCCACTAAAGAGATATATACATACAAGCGTACACGATCAACTTAAGGAGGGGGGTAAAAAGACAATAAAGGACAACACAACTAATATTTTTACAATTATACTAACATAAGAACTCTAACAATAAATGAGCACAAAATTACTTTTCTAATTTAGTTATAATAAACGTAAATTGTGGTCTGGTCAAAAGATTTACAAGGCCATTCACTTCACGTATCTATAGAGTATGAATACTGACATCATTTTTTATTCCCTCAGAATGCTTTGACTGATCCTCAACGTGTCCGCACTCCTGCAATTTCTGAGTATTGGAAACCCTTGGCAGAGGATGTAAGCATATTAAGAACATTGTTTTACCTGAGCTGAATGAACTATTGTTACCCATTTGCTCCTTATATTTTGAAATAAAATTATATTGATATTAGTTTCAATTTGCCTTTTTCTGTGGCAAAAAGCTGTATATGTATATACACATATATGTACGTATATGAATATAAGTATATTTATATTGCTCCTAATAGGCTGAACTTCATTCTTTCTGTGTTACAGATGGACGAGTCTGCTGGAATTGAAGCGGAATACCATCATAAAAGTAACCGAGTAAGTTTTGGTCCATACTATTAAATTTGTTACCTTTTGGTTTGCTTTTATAGTTTTGTATGCCACACATTTTTTTCCCTCAATAAAATTGTGAGATCTCATATCGGTTGGGGAGGAGAACGAAACACCCTTTACGTATTTTAAAAACCTTGAGGGGAAGCCCGAAAGGGAAAACCCAAAGAGGACAATATTTGCTAGCGGTGGGTTTGGGCCGTTACAAATGTTATCAGAGCTAGACACCAAGCGATGTGCCAACAAGGAGGTGTTCCCCGAAATGGGGTAGACACGAGGCAGTGTGCTAGTAAGGATGCTGGGCCCCGAAGGGGGGTGGATTTTGTGTGGTCCCACATCGATTGGAGAAAGGAATGAGTGCCAACAAGGACGCTGGGGCCCTAAAGGGGGTGGATTGTGAGATCCCACATCGGTTGGGAAGGAGAACGAAACACCCTTTATAAGGGCATGAAAACCTCTCCCTAGTAGGCGCGTTTTAAAGACCTTTAGGGAAAACTTTGGAAAATCCAAAGAGGACAATATCTGTCAGCGGTGGGTCTGGGCCTGGGCCGCTATAGAAATTTTAGTGTAACTTCAGAGTTTTATCAGAAAAAGAAAAATAATAGTAAAGTCATTATCTTGCGCAGCTGATTGAATTTCTTAGGGTAGGTGGGTGTTAGAGATAAAAAGACAAGGAAGAACGGTTTTCATTTAAAATATAAAATACAGAGGGAAGGCTAAAATGAAGAAGAAAGTGAACTTTGGATGAACACCATAAAGATGCTAAAACTTTGTACAGAAATTGTATTGGTGATTCGAGTAGAATATACGATCATAGGACAGAGATTTTCAAAACAATTTTGAGAATGTCATCCCAAATGTGCTCCAGGGGCATGCATCTGTTCTGCTTTAAAACCGTTCTTCCTTGTTGGATTGTCTGGACCTCTCAGCCTCAGTTTCTTAGCTTTTATCTTGTGTACTGGTACGTTTACTGTGTTTATTCGTTTCAAAAAGTTAAAGAAGTGCCAAGATTTTGTTTATTCTGCTTAAGATACCAACTCGACCAATTGTATAACTGATCCTTAAGATGTTTCTTCCTAACTCAGGTTTATTGCTGGAAAGGCCTTCGATTTTCAGCTCGGCAGGACTTGGAAGGATTTTCTCGAGTATGCTTTAAATTGCACAAAAATTGCTAGCATTTTATGTAATGAAGAAAATTTGATACAGAATATTTAACGTGGAATTACAGTTCACCGACCATGGCATTGAAGGAGTCGTGCCTTTGGAACTCCTGCCACCTGATGTACGATCCAAATACCAAGCTAAACCAAATGAGAGATCTAAACGTGCTAAGAAGGAAGAAACGAAAGGGGCCGTGCGTCAAGCTGAAGAAAATCAGGTAGAAATAAAATAATTTCATTTTAGTCCTACATATCGGGGTACAGGCCCTTCTGAGGTGATGTATGTTGATGAAAAACTTATGGTGTGAAAGAAATGATAGAATCTTTGGGGCCTTTGATAGTTTCTTGGATTTGATTCTTTCTGTATTCTTTGTATTAACACCTGACTATATTCTTTCAACATTAATTTCCCATTGGAAAACTCCCTTTATTTCATTCACCAATGAAATTTGTCTCGTATCTAAAAAAATTATATGACGAGAGGGCTAGATAAATAAGGTGTTAAATAAAGGAGTAAAATCCTCAACCTCGTCTTTGAAGACGCGATGGACGCACCTGAACCATATAGCTTAGAGGAGTGCCTTGTTGATGTAGACCATATAACATATTTTCTTTGTTGTAAGGATAATCCATAAAGATCATTGTGTCATTAGGAAGAGCAATGTGCACTATGAACGCCGAGAGGTTTTTCGTCCAATAACAATGAGAAAAGCGAAATAGTGAATAGATGCGTCATGGTTTCGTCACTAATGATTGTGTTTCTTGTGGATTTCTTGTGGATTTCAGTTTTCTGATAGTGTTGATGTTTTCTGTAGAAGTTGTTATTATTTTCTATTTTGTTTTAACATTTTTCATCAATGGATTTTGGCAAAAGATGGCAACACCAGCTAGTGAGAATGATGGTGAAGGAACCAGAAGTGACCCTGATGGACCATCAGTGGCGATGGATGCCGATACAACCGTTGCTGCTGGCAGTGTATCTCAAGGCGGTACTCCAACTCCAGAAGAAAATAAACAAAGCTCCGACACCGATATTGGTCAAGAGGCAGGCCAGTTGGAGGCCGATGCCGAGGTAGAGCCGGGTATGATCGATGGCGAGATAGATGCAGAGGTTGATTTGGATACTGCAGGTTGATTAGTGCGGCAGCCCTTTTAATATCTAGCAAGGTGCATATCTCTCTATTATATCTCGCAAATTGCATACCTTCCAAGTAACCATAGAAGAATTTAGGGTCATTTTATGGTCTTCCTAACAAGCGAATTAAAAATTTATGTTCTTCTTTCTGGTAGGTCTGAAATGTTGAAGTTTGAACTTTACTCATGAATAGGATTAAATTTAAACTCCTGCCCTTGATATTGACATTATTTGCTGCTAAAATTTATCCGTTATTGTATTTTTTGGTTATGTAAGACAAAGTTTGTCACTAATCACTTCAATATGAAGTTTTCCGACCAAACCCTATGGCTGACCTTTTCACGTTCACTTTACCAGTGATTCTTAAAGTGCTGTTTTGTTTGGCTGTTTCGGCTGCTACAAGACTGCTCATGCAGTCGAGTTGAGGTACGATTTTGACGTAAATTCACGTTAAAGAAAACGTTTAAATCTAAAGCTTCCAGTGACTCAATCTTGCATCCTTTGTTTGAAATGCAGGGCTCTTAATGTCTAATTAACAAATTTCAGGATTACTAGACCAGGAAGAGTTCAGATTATCAGAATAGATTATTTTGTTACTTAGTTGAACAGTATGAGAGGAACATAATTTATTACAGCCAAAATTTTCAGACAAACCCCAAATTGAAAAGGATACCCTCTTTTATCTACCATATATATATAAGTATTTATTATCGATAAATACTTTTATGAGTAATTATATTTAGATAAATTAGATAAGGCTTAAATTATCATAAATAATACCAATATTATGTTTTGTTCTAATGAATCACTTTGGGATGTGAAAAAACATATGATATCGGACCTATTAATGGGGATATTCCCGAAACTCACAAAAAAAAAAAAAAAAAAAAAAAAAAAAAAAAA